AGGTTTAGTTTGTTTATTTTATTTTCTTTTAGTGTTTGTGACAAATTCTTATACGTGTGACTTAAGTACTTAACTAAATAATTAATTTTCAATAACATAAATAAAATCAAATCATTTTCATTCATAAATTTCGATTGGAGGGTTTCCATAAAACATATACAAAATAAAATAATTCATAACCATAATAGGAATTGATAAGAGTGAGGAGGTTTATGAATATAATTATAAGTGATAGTTTAATTAATTATAAGTTAATTCCTCAATTCTTCTTATAGATATTGGTTTTTTCTTAGACCGACGAAATGTATATTACAATCCCTATTTAGAGACTAAAAGTTCAAAGTTTAAAACGAGTAGTTAGATAATTTATTTCATATGTTCTTTTTCCGAACAATAAAAAAGAATAAAGAGATCATACCACCTTAAACCTATATTTTTTTATATATAGTTTTCTTTTACCATATGACAAACTGCAAACTCCATTTTCTTTCATTATTCATAACTTTGCTTGGTTTGATAAAATATTAGTGAAAAGTTTAAATAAGTGCGATGATAATTCTTATAAAAAAATTCCTTTGGCACTGGCATATTACTTTGTTTTTTTTTATGAATTAGTAAGCTCTTATATCATCAAAAAGAATCCCAAAACCTTTGGCAACAACCCTGCCAACTAAGTCACCGTAACAGTTTTTATGCACTCAAACTGAACTCCCTATTTCATAACAAAGGAAACCTGTAATTTGAACCAAGAGAGAAGGCTAACCAGCCTAAAAACTGTCAACAATTTCAGCAGAAAAAGCATTGTAATGTCCTGTTTAATGAGTACAATCATCTCCTGATGGCTTTTCTTGGATCCTCCATGCTTCAGTAGACACCTTTCACGCCAAATAGTACTATCATTGCCCTCCAAATCGCCTTAGCTGCCTAGTTTCGCAGCTGCTTAGCTTTTAGATGGGTTGAGGCCCACTGGAGCTCTGCATCCCAATCACCCGAAGGAGTTCTAAGGAAAGCTTTAACTAAAAAACCTGCATACAATTCCTTAAACACCACACAGCCACCAAAAATATGAGCTCTTGTCTCCAATGAACAAGAACATAACGAACATGAGAAAGGACCTCTTCCTCCCCAGCTTGCAACCTTATCACAAGTTGTGATATAATTCTTTACTACCAACCAAGCAAGAAACTTATCCCTTGGAGGAGATGGACATTTCCAGATTAGAGAATACCAGGGAATAGATGCTTCCTTTGTCTGGAAAGACTCCCATACCAGCTTAATACAATACCTCTTCATAATTTTTCCATTCCACAGAACATCCCCATTCACCATAGACATATGCTGGCAAATCTTATCTCTTCTTTTCAACAGTTTTAACCAAATCAAAGAACCAGTTTTGGATTGAAAAGTCCAAAATTCATGCTTCTTAAGTCTGTATTCCCTCAACCACGCCACCCACAGAGATCCCTGCTGCAAAAGGATTAGCCAAATATGTCCGATCACACACGAAAAGTTCCAACTCACTAGGTCCCTTATTCCCAATCCACCTTCTTTCTTAGGAAGAGCTAAGTAATGCCAAGCTGCAGTAGCCCTTTTCTTACCATCTGCACTAACTCCCCACAAGAAATCACTACAAAGTTTCTCAATCTCCTTAATAACCCTTTTTGGCAGAATAAAAACTGCCATCCAAAAATGTGTCAAACTAGCAAGAACAGAAATCACAAGCTGTAAACGTCTTGCACAGCTAAGGAACTTTGTTTTCCAGCTATGAATTCTACCCGTTATTTTATCTAATAGAGGTTTACAAGTTTTGATTGATAGCTTGCCAGGAATTAGAGGCTATCCCAGATATTGATTGGAAGTGAACCCAGTTTATAGCTTGCTCTCTGAGCCATCTGTTTTTGCCATTCAATAGGAAGTTCCCCACAGAATAATTCACATTTCTCAGGATTAGATTTTAGGCTAGAAATTCTTCTAAACTCCCCCAACACCCTCTGAATACATTGAATGCCATGATTTGCACCATCAGAGAACAAAAGCAAGTCGTTTGCAAACATTAAATGAGTCAAACCCAACCTCTTGCACATAGGATGAAATGACATTTGTCCCTCCCTAACTGCTTTTCCCATTAAGCAAGACAGAATTTCCATAGAAATGACAAAAAGGTAAGGGGACAGAGGATCCCCTTGCCTTAAGCCTTTTCGAGCTGAGAAATACCCCACTATACCACCATTAAACTTCACACTTCACTTAGGGGTAGTCACACACATGACAATCCACCTCACAAAGAGATCAGGGAAATTCATTGCTTGTAAAACTGTAATTAAAAAATCCCAGCCAACCGAATCAAAGGCCTTCATAATATCAACTTTAATAATACTTCTTTGGGAGATATCATTTCTATTATACTTCTGAACCAGCTCATGAGCTAAGAGAATGTTCTCACCTATCACTCGCCCTTTAATGAATGCAGTCTGAGTATGGCTAATGAGGGAAGGCAAAACTGTACTAAGCCTATTAGCTAAAATCTTTGCAACACACTTATAAAGTGTATTACAGCAAGATATTGGTCTAAACAACTACATCTCCTCAGGGTTCTGAACCTTAGGTATCAATGCTAAGAGTGTAAAATTAGTACCGGAAGGAAGAGAGCAAACTAGAAGACAACACAAATCCCTGGCTAGAATTAGGAGCTTTCTAAATGTTCACAAATTCAGCAAATTACATCTCATTCGTATCAACTCTGATTTCAAAAGAATTTGGGTTAAAAAAACATATTAATTGAAACTTGCCAAAGAAAAGTTGAAGAAGACTATGATGAGTAATTTTATAAGAATTATATAACAACATCAAAGACAATATTAGTTAGTTAAACAATTTACCTTTACTCTTTTGTTGTTTTCAACTTCGTTCATTCATTCGAGAGAAAACAAAGTACCCAATAAAATAAAAAAAAATTCGACCAAATAGTGTATCCCAATTGTTGTTATTTTATAGATTAAGGACTAGATGCATATTGTAGACAACATTGTTTAATCTAGCTTTATCTGTTTGTATCGCGAAGGAGCAAGATCTTTTGGAATGTGTGCAATGATAATTCTTATAAAGAATTCCTTTGGCACTGACATAATACTTTGTTTGCTATACCTATTTTAGTATTATTTTGATTTTTTAATTTAATTCATATGATTATTAAGTCCTGTATTTATTGATTCTATGTCTTGAAAAATATTCACATTGGAGAATCATCTAATTGATAAACAATGCTCCATACTCCAATACGACCTTCAAACAATTAAGTAAAAGAGATGAAATTTTGGTGCATAACTTCCTTTAGTTACCGCTAGCACAAATCACGAGCTATAATTAAGAGCTTTCCATATGTTCACAAATTCTGCAAATTATATCTTCTTCGTCTCAACTCTGATTTCAAAAGAATTTGGGTTAGAAAAACATATTAATTGAAACTTGCCAAAGAAAAGTTGAAGAAAACTATGATGAGTAATTTTATAAAAATTATACAACAACATCAAAGACAATAGTAGTTAGGTAAACAATTTACATTTACTCTTTTTGTTGTTTTCAACTTCAAGTTCATTCATTCGAGAGAAAACAAAGTATCAACTAAAACAAAAGATTTTCGACCAAATAGTGTATCTCATATGTTGTTATTTTATAGATTCAAGACATGCTGAATGTTGGAGACAACATTGTTTAATTAGCTTTATTTGTTTGTATCGCGAAGGAGCTAGATCTTTTGGAATGTATATAGAAACTACTCAAAGCTATTGACAAAACGAGAGAACTTTCACCTCCTTAACCCATCCAAACCAAGAGCCTGAAGTTGATTTCAGCTCAAGCTCACTAATTACAACATCCGCGAACCCCTAAGTGTGTACATATTTTGAAGATAATTAAGGATGAAAAGAGCAATCTCAGAGAAAGTTCATGACATATATTTGGTAAATTTAAGTTCTTGGAAATAAAGTTTCACAATTCTGAAAATGTTGCCATTAGATTTTTGCATTCTATGAAATGCGGGAGTAGAAGGAAGAGTATGTTAACAACGGAGGTCGTGAATTCAGTGGTGTAGATAATTACGGAATTGAGATAAAGGAAGAGATTATTATGGTGGATATAGAAATTTCAAAGATGGGAGTATGCATTGAATGGTTAATATTTATGATTTGGATGAGGAATTATCGTGAAAAGATGGGAGTATGGATTGAATGGTTAATATTTATGATTGATGGAGTATAGAAATTTCAAAGGTGAAATTATACTATCGTGAAAAGATGTTTCACATTTTCAAACATTTTACCATTAAAATTTGATTTTTAATGTAATGTAGGAGAAGGAAGAGAGATTTTTTCTGCTGAATATGAAGTTTCATTAATGAATATGAAATTGTGTGGATAAAATGCTTTTGATGGCGGAGCAATCAAAAAGAAATCCAAAAAGAAATTTTCAATAATTTCTAACATCAAAGACAAAACTGAAGTGCGTTTCAAATATTTAGTTTTTAGAAATTGAATCCCTACATGAGTTGTAGTGTTTACTTTTGATAAAGACTTTTGTCCATGAATGATCAAGATGTTGTAAAACTTATTGTGTATGTTATTTTTTTATATGTTTAGTAACTGAATAATCTGTGTTTTTTCATGGTACTAAATAAATAATTCGAGTAATTACTATTATTTTGTATACAATTGATGCAATTCATCCGAACCAACGGGCGGACCCAAATCTAGTCCATTATTATGTTATTTCCCTAATCCGTACCCCCTTGCCCCTTGTATCAAAACGTAGCAGTATACTTTAGCGATGAGGCCGAGCCAAAGCCGAGTTCAGATCCCAGACCTAGCCCATAATTAAATTCTAAAATGGGCCGAGAGTTTGAGAGACGGACGCGTATGAGACTGAGGATCAAACTTCGAAGACGGCAAATGGTGTTGCCGTGACGATTGAGTATTGACGAGACAGAGAATGGCAGCTGCTCTCACCGGGAAATCCCTTTTCCTCGTTACCGGACCTCCGGTAAGAGGCAGAAGTAACTTCTCTCTTGAGTACTTTTAGTTTCCGTTGTTGAATTTCATTGAACGATCGAAGCTTTTTCTTTCTACCTCCCCAAAATTAACGTTCCCCTCTTTTCCTTGCATTTTTTTTTTTTGGAAAATAGGGGGTGGGCAAAACCACTCTGATCATGAGATTGGTAGAGGCTCTGAAACTCTCTAGACCTAACTTGAACGTTCGGGGATTCTACACCCGTACTCTTTCTCTCTCTGTCTCTCTCCCCCCTTTTCATTTTGCGGTTTGCTTACTTCTGAGTTTTCATTTTGCGGTTTGCTTACTTCTGAGTTGGTCAACAATGGATTTCAATTCCATTTTGATCAGGTGAGGTTAGACGAGGAAGTGAAAGGGTTGGATTTGAAGTCGTTACTCTAGACGGCCGCACAGCCCCACTCTCTTCCATCTCCATTTCCACGTTCGTATCTTTGCTTTGCAAATTGCCATTCCCTTTTTTTTTTTTTTACGCGTTCTCTTTCTCTAATTGGTCTCTCTTTCTCCCTCTCTCGGCAAATTATTTAGGCCAGAGTCGTCTGGATGGCCAACTGTTGGCAAGTACAAAGTCGACGTCTCATCCTTCGAGTCTCTCGCATTGCCCGAGCTGCAGGTCGCACTTTCTTTGACTTGTAGACTTGTTTCAATTGTTTGTGTTGTGCAAATTGTGCTACAAATCGTCACTTTCTTTACTTGTATGGATGACATGAACGTTGTTTGGTTTAGGTGAGGGAAGATACCGATCTTTTCATTATAGACGAAGTTGGCAAGATGGAGTTGTTTAGTTCACATTTCTTCCCAGCTGTGTTGAGGGTTCTGGAATCGAACATCCCGGTTGTGGCTTCAATTCCTGTTCCAAAGTTCGGTCGTGATATTCCTGCAGGTAAAACAGGAATGGGAATACCCTCCTCTTGAACAAACTTAGCAAGTTAGGTGATTTCTTTTTCTTCTCTGAAGTGCAATTCTGCTGGTGTTTGTTGTGATTGGGGTTGGGGTTGGATTGTTGTTGCATTTTGCAGTTGAAAGGTTGAGGGGTCAACCGGGTGCTACGATTTTCTCGTTAAGCCACAGCAATCGGGATGCTCTAAAAGAAGAAATCTATACCCAATTGCTACAGGCATTAGATGTTTCAAGGCAGTGAGATTTGGGTTCATGGTGGAGTTGCTCTCAGGCTTTTAAGGTGCTGCATATAGTTCTTTTGGTTCTAGAATTATAGTTCGAAACAGAATTAGAAATTCATATCCCTTGTAAGGTTCTTGCAATCTTCATCTCATCTTGTGACAATACACATACATGCATATTTCAGCATTACACAAGACACCTGAAAGTACTGTTATCCACAGTGTAATGCAGATGAGATCCTGTTTCTGATTTCCAAAATAGGAAAAACCTGTCCCTCAGTTTGTAATCCAATATAGTTTTGCTCGAAATTAAACAGGAAAGCGAAATCTATCTAGAATCTGGAATCTAGTCTAGAACATATATAATAGCTATTCATCACTCTCTTTTTCTCCATTTTGAAATTTCGGCTCTGGGAGTGTTTCCTGGAAGGTCAATCACGTCATTTTGCTCATAATTATGGCGCTCTGCATTTTGATTTCCGCATGTGCAAGTAAGCTGTGCGAACAAGGCCTCCCCATGAATAAGATTTGGGCCTGCCTTTGGTCCTGCTCCACAGGACGTGCTTTTGGTCCCTAACTCCACTGCAACGGCCCATTGAACCACTCACAACGTACTTTCGTCAAAGACAAGATTGGTTTGTACAGCCGTTCATTTCTTCTTCAATTTATTATTTTATTACTCACCATGGGAAAGATATTTGTTTGCAGTATTAAGTCTATTTGCATTACATGGAACACCTGGTAATGTAGTCAATATTACAAATAAAATTATAAATATTCATATTTAAACATGACATTTAACGTCAATACCTAAACATTTATATTTGAATTCAACAAATAACATCAATATTTAACTTTTATGCTCATAAAATAAATAATAAAATAATTTTTATCAATTAAATTCACTAAAATAAGGTCATTTTACTTAGATATTCGTATATCGATCATGCATGTCATACCGGTGGTGTCACGCCGATTTTATGACCGATATCGGTTGGACCAGGTACAACCGGTGGCACGCCGGCCGGCGTGACAACCATTTCGTTCCAATGATTATTATTCTTAATCATTTAATGAACTATTACTTTTATATATATAGAGAGATGGTGGCGTATTTGGTGCACTCACTTTTTTTTTTTGTGCACTCAATGCACTCGCCTCATAATTGTCATTCCAAACATGCGATTCCTATCAAAATGGTATCAATTGTCCCTGATGATATTATGAACAAGAAACACATGAATTTGCAAAAAACTCATTCAAGATTTATTTTAATTTCAAGGGTTTGGGATTTAGGGATTTAGGGTTAGGGTTTAGGTATACACTTTGGGATTTTGATTTGGGATTCAAAATTCAAGGTTAAGGGGTTAGAGTAATGGATTGATTAGTTGTGATTTTATTTTATCTCATCATATTAGACTAATGCTACCAATTAAAATTCAAAATTTGATGTATTATAGCCACTTTTAGAGTATATTATATATTCTTGGAGTATATTATACTTCTGGTACTAATGCACCGTAGCCAACATATATATATTCTTGGAGTATATTATACTTCTGGTACTCCTATTGAGATATATCTATCTAGAACATGAACTAAATCGAGATTGGAGTATGATACTATACCCTAACCTCTAATACATAAACCCTAGGCTCCTGATTCGTTAAACTCAAACCCGAAGTTCAATTTTAATGAAAAATAATAATTGATCGTTGAGATTGGTCGGAGCTCATCTAAGTACATATAAGGATTTAGGATTTATGGATTTAGGGTTAGGGTTTAAGTTTACAATTTGGGGTTTTGGGTTGAGATTCAAAATTGAAGTTTAAGGTGTTAGGATAATGGATTGATTAGTTGTGATGCTATGTTAATATCATCATATTAGACATGCTACCAAATAAAGTTTCAACATTTTATGTACTATGACCACATTTAGAGTTGGGTGCATTGAAAATAGTGGGTTATACTATGTTAAAACAACGTACAAGCTAGTTTACAAGGAGATGAATAGCGCTATGGGGATCGTGGAGGTGGAGGAACCAGAAGCTATTGATGAAACAGAACTGGTGGGGATAGAAACTGAGGTCTACGACCCATTGAACTGGAAACGACTGTGGAAGCTGGTGATCCCCCCTAAGATCAAAATATTCTTGTGGAGGCTAATTCACAACATCCTACCTACAGGGAAGAATATAGAGCTACGAAAGAAGGATGCCCCCACAGAATGCCCATTCTGCAACTTGGAGGAAACCCAGAACCACACATTCAGAGAATGCCAGTGGGTTTCTAGGATTTGGCGTCCTACATGTTTCAAACCCCTATTCGAGCTGGAACCCAATCTATCCTCTGGTAGTTGGATGTGCGAGGTTATGGAAAGGGTGGATGATGACACTCTAAGCCAATTAGGAGTGCTACTATGGACTAACTGGAATGAACGCAATAACCAGCTGTTCAATAATCGAAAGGCGGAGGAAGGGGAAATTGTAGGGAAAACCCTAGCCTACTGGGAGGAATTCAAGTCGTATCACTCCAACGAGGTGGAATTAAAGCAGAGAGAAAGAGCTACCTGGGAACCTCCGCAGGGGGGATGGATCAAACTGAATGTTGACGCTGCGGTGCTGAAGGATGAAGGGACGGGTTTTAGGGTCGTAACTCGCGATGATAGAGGGCATTTTTTGATGGCAGCGGTTGGCCGAGAGCGTCCAATGGAATCCAGAGATGGCTGAGATTAAGGCTATGGCTTTTGGTATTAAGAAAATGGAGCGACATGGCTTCCGTTCGGTCATTATCGAAACTAATTGTCAAGGAACTTTTTTCGCAATGGAGAAACCAGAGACATCGAGGATGGAGATCGGAACGCTGATCAGAGAACTGAAGGAGGAAGCTGCCAGATTAGGCCCAGTCCGATGGAGTTTTGTGAAAAGAGAAGGAAACGAAGCGACCCACCTTATGGCCCACACAATTTGCAATTGGGACTCCCAGGAATGTTGGGTAGCCCGACCCCCTATATCTCTCTTATCCATTCTTGATGCTGAGCCCATGAGGCATTAATAAGATACAGGTCTGATTATAAAAAAAAAATCTGGGTTCTTAAGTGAATGATTTAGATCAAAATCTCTCATAAATCTGTTTGTATATTGGGTGGTGGACAAGAATTATTGTACAAAAGTTAACCCGTGATGGCATAAATGATAAAACTGTACTAATCTTGAGATACATTATATTTTCTTGTAACTAATAGTAAAAAGTCCATTTATGCTCAGTAATGCATAGGATTGAGTTCAATTTGTACTTGGTTGAATTTATCAATTCAGGTGTATGTACAAAAATACTTTTTGTCTACAGCTTGTATTGATACATATAATATTGAAATTTGTACAAAATTACTTTTTGTAAGAATTGAGTTCAATTGTGCCAATTACTTTTCCGGTACCAAATAAATACAACCCAACGAAGTAAGAATTATCGAGGAAGAAAAAGTTAAAAAAGTGATCACCCAATCATTTCAAGATCTTAGAGTTTCTCGATTCAAAAGAAAAGAGAATGCCCAATTGACATTGTCAAACTTTTCTTGTCTTTGGTTGCCTAATCCACTTTCAAAGATCAAACTCAAGAATCATTGCTAGATCTTGAGTGAATTACACGATTTTGAGCGATCTTTACTTAGGGACAAGAAAAAGCTAACCCGGGGATAATTGGATGATAATTAAGAATTAGTACTTGTTAATTATACCTATTTTTAGTGGGGGATCCAGGGGTGGTCACCCCGGCCACGGTCCAGTCCTCCTCTGGATCCGGAGCTAGTATGACCTTTATGAGTTTATCGTTAGTCATACGGCTCATTGTTATTTTATAATAAGATTGTAAGTAATTAGGAAAATGGGTCAGATGAACATATTTATAATAAGATTGTATGTAATTAGGAAAATGGGTCAGATGAACATATTTATAATAAGATTGTATGTAATTAGGAAAATGGGGTAGATGAACATATTTAGTCACAACTCTAAATTTAGCCTAGAAAAACAAACAATCAAACTTTAAATTCTAAAAGTCTAAACGTAAAAGACTAAAAGAAAGATGAGATTTGTTCCCTTGAAAAATTACTAGATAAGCTGGTGGAAATAGGGACGAATACACAATACAAATTGATTAGTCGATTGAATTGTCTAGTGTTGACAATGTTCGTTTCAACAAGAACTATGGAATTTCTCGCCGATTGATTAACTATTTTATTTGAAAGCAGGGTCGGAGCTAAGATTCGGCGTTCGGGGGGTGGCTGAATTTTGTTATTATGTGACTTCGATATGGCAATAAAAATTAATAAAAAAAATATTTTTTATATTATTATAACGGCATTTTTAGATGACTTGAGAGAACAAATTATTCAGCCATGTAAAACTTAATTTTTAATCTAAAAGACTTAAGAAACCACATTGAAATTAACGAAATTATAACTGAATGGCTAAACATCGCCCTAGTTTTACTATTATCGCCCTAATTTAAAATATAAAATTACTGAATTAACCTTAATAAAACAAACAAAAAAGCCCTACGCACTGTCTTTATTTCCTCCAACGAGGGCAGCGGCGTGGAGGCTTTCAGCGGCGTCCCTACATGCTGACCACCTGTTTAGTGGTCGTCGAACTCCTCCCTGGGTGGCGATCCCTCCTTTGTGATGTCGTCGTTCAACCTAGGTTCAACTGATTGGCGACAGACCCTCCTTCCTCATTGGCTTCGTATTCAGGTGGCCGCCGCCGCTCTCCGTGCTGCTTTGAATAACTGGTCTCATTAGTAGTTACGTGATTCGGTTGATAGCTTTGAAAACCCATTTGTCAAACACCATTGATGGTTATACTCTTTATAGCTTGAATTGATTAGAAGCTATGAAATTGAAAAGTAGATGTACGTGGGTCTTGGAGGGTGGTAGTGGTAGCGGTAGCGGTCCGAGGGTGATAGTGGTGGCGACGGGCGGAGGTGGTTATGGTAGATTAATTTTATTTTTATTCTATCATTAAAAAGGATACAAATGTAATTTTAATATAGGACGATTATAGTAGTTAGGGCGACAATTAGCAATCCCCTATTATAAAGCCATAAGAAGATAAATGAATGAGAAATTATTAAAATTAAAATAGCACTACATCTAGTGGGTTGGCCACAATTAGCAATCCCCAATTATAAAGCCATAAGAAGATAAATGAATGAGAAATTATTAAAATTAAAATAACACTGCATCTAGTGGGTTTCAAACCCTTAAACTGAAGGAAGAAACATCATATTCTTACCGGCTAAGATAGCTTGCTTTCTTGTTTCAAGTTTTCACACTAAATGAATATACAAATGTCATTTATTTTACACGAAAGTT